AAATCTGAATCTTGTATTTTTGACCAAATTGTTTGTAATTTTGTAATCCTAATAATATTTTCAAGTTGAAAACGCGTTCTGCTCTTTTGTTTTAAGTCCATTATTTTGAAAAGTACAAAAAACAAGCCTAATGTAAGGTGTATTTTTCTAAAATCAAGGGCGCATTTCCCTTTTTTAAGGCGAATTGCCATAAAAAAAACATAAAAGCTTCTAAGAACAAAATGAACGCCATACAATCTTCAACATTAAATGAACGCATTTCCTTGACACCCCTATGTTAACGGAAAAGTCAATTAAAAGAACAATATGAATTATTTATTTTTGATTTTCGCACTACACTTTATCTATCTGACAAAGGGGCTTTTGAGTGTTATGTGCGCTTCGGTAAGCCCTATGTGTCTCATAGTCCGAAGCGGGGCAAACATTTCTCTGGAAATATAAAGATTCTTAAGTAATCCCCTTTTTTTTAATTAAACAAATTTGTGAAGCTTTATGCTTTATTTCTTAGGGTAATTCGCCCTTAAAAATAGAAAATGCTCCCTTCATTAAAAAAAAAACTTTAAATTTGGGCCACTCACCCTGAGCACAGGAAAATCTTTCTCAGTTCAAGAAAAATCAGTTACCCCTGAGTCCTACGTCAGAATTGTACGTTTATATACGAACAGCGTGTGTTAGTTTACGGAGCAGTAAATAATAATAAACGTGAAAAATGTTTCAATCCTTCCGAAATTTTGTGGGCGGAAAGCCCATTAAAAGGGAGGGCACACGCCGAGCAGCCGACGGAATTGAGCCCGAGGCCATCGTTGACTTGACCGAAGATCCCGTCATCAAGCAACTAGTCGATAGGAACAAGGACCCCGTCATATGCCCGGTTTGTCTTGACGTGGTCAAGGAGCCGGTGGGCACCAAGTGTGGACACGTCTTTTGCAAGGAATGCCTGACCCGTGCAATGGGGCCATCTAAACTGTGCCCCAAGTGCAGGAAAACTGAGACCAGTTTCGTTTGCCTGTATACTTATCTACCTTAAAATATTGTTTTTATTTCTTAAAGACGTTTTTGAATTGGTTGTTGTCGCTGAAGAAGATGAAGTCGGAATGAAATAAACTAAGCCAAAGCATTGGGTATATTGTGCATATTGGAAAATAGATAGCTAAGTTTCTTATTTATTTATCAATCGCCTAGCCTCTGGCTACAATTATTTAATTTAAATCTATATCTAATCTTAATATTAATTGGGTTAAAATGGTTATGTGCGCTTCGGTAAGCCCTATGTGCCTGAAGAATCTGCATGCTCAATCCCAACTGTGTGGCTTTCATAGCTTGGAGTGGACGTGGCAACATTCGGATTTTAATTGGTAGGTATTCCCGAAAGCCAAACATTTCAGCTAGAATTTTTATTCCAAGCTACACTTTGTTGTCCCATTAAGAATTTCAGGGAATAAGAAATCCAAGCTGGGATCGAAACATACTGTTGATTCATGCATGGCTTTATTTTAGATATTCGTTTAAAATGAGCATTTAATTTGCTTGATAATACTTGACAATTTAGCTTTATAGTTTAGTGAAGATCAGCGGTGATAAGGATTAAACAATTTGGAAGATTAACAATTTGTGACATTGTCCAGGTGCTGAATGGATGTATGGATGGAGCCTACTGGTTTTGGTGGACATCTCCTCGCTCGGCTAGCTTCTCGCCTAGGATGACGCCGAGCGATCGCATCAGAGGATCGAGCACCTGTTGCACCTGCGAACGGGACACCAGTTGCAGGGCGTCCAGCAGGGCCCGATGCAGTTGCTCCTCGTCGATTCCCTGTTGGGTGGCAGCATCCCCAATAGGTTGACCCCGATCTCCGTGGCCCACAATAGGCAGCATGCTCACGGAACTGGTGGTGGTGATGCCATCGCCGGCCATCTGTATCTGAGTTTGCATATCGTCGCCGCCAAGGGATTGCGGTTCCAGATCGCAGGGCAGTTCCACTGCACCAGTCGTGGCAGCTCCCATTGCTCCGGTGGTCACATTTGGAGTGTTCCTCGAACGACGCACCCGATGGCGCTTCTCCACCTGCTGACGATCCTTGGGCACCAGACGCGGTTCGTACAGCTTGAGATCATTCAGGCACATCTTGAGATCGTAGCGCTCGTGGCAGCGCAGCTTCTCCTGCCTGGGCTGAGTGGGTGCCCTCGGGGGATTCGTTAGCTTCTTCCTCTTTTTGGTGGTCCTGGCGGTCACCTGGTGACCCTGATGGTGACCCCCCTGATGCTTGTGCAGACGCCTCAACGTCTCGCGGGCCAACTTGAAGCGCTCCTCCTGCATGTCCTCAATGAAGCTAAGGAACCGGGTGCACCGCTCTTGCAGGCACTCCACCACCGGATCATGGCGATCCAGCATCCCTTTGTCCAGGCAGCAGTTGGTCAACGTGTAGATCATCTCGATGAGGGCGCTCAGCTTCTGGGGCACCTTCTCGAGCAGGAAGTAGCGCAGTTGTCTCTGATAGGTCTGGATGGACTGTTGCATCAGTCCGTAGACGCAAACGACCCTCTGGCAGGCCTCGTTGGAGGTGGCGCTATTGAAACTGGCCACCGCCGTGAAGCGCACATCATCGATCATCCCCTTCAGCGGATAGAGGAAGTTCCTCGAGAAGCGGACGCAGAACTCGAAGGCATTCCGCTGGCGCTTCTGGCGCTCCTGGGCACTGCAATGGGGCACCTGGAGCTGCAGCAGACTGTTCTGCAGCTTGTCCAGCGCACTGATGATCCGCTCCTGCGTGAGGGTGATCTTGTTGTAGATGGCCAGCTTCTCGTACTTTAAGTCCTCCAGGGATTTGCTGTAGACCACCAGGGGTTTGGGTTTACGTCGCTTAATGGCTGGGGCCACTGCCTCCTTGAAAGGATTGGGTGGATTTGGTGGGTTCAGTGGGTTGGAGGCCACCTCATCTCCACCGCCTGTCACTCTGGCAGGACGTCGTGTTCTTGTATTGGAGGGTTTCTGATTTCCCTTGGCCATCACATTAGTTCTGCGTAGCTTGCTGGACTTCTGGCCACCACCACCACCAATCACTGGCTGCCTTGGGTTGCCCCTCCTGGAGTTCGATGGCTTGCATGGCTCCTGGGGCGGCAACAGATCCTCGCCCTCCGATCTCTGCGAGGTGTACCGCATCGGTGAGAGACTCCTGAGCAGGCTGATCAGGTGCGGTCGCCTCTCCAGTTCTACAAAGCACGGCTGGCCGGGATTATTTCTGGCCGGGTCACGATCTTCGGAATCAGTGGGCTCGTAGGTGGGTCGTGGCTCCACGTAGCGCATGTAGCCCTGCCGATCCGCATACTCGTGCTCTAGATCGCTGTCCTCCAGGAAGAAGGGGGTCAGTGGTTCGGGCTCCATGCTGCCATGCTGCTCCATGAACTGGTAGGCGGAGAGGGGCGTGGCATTCTGGGCCTGGCAGACATTCACATTGATGGCCTGCGATGTCATCGCCGAGGGCATGACATCCGCCCATCTGGGCTGCGGTGTGTAGTAGTCCTCGAAGGACATCTGACCCACATCGGCCAGGGAGCTATCGCCCACTACCTCCTGGAACTGCGTTTCCTGCTGGGGCTTCCTACGCGGCTGCTCCTGCCGCCTCCTCCCAGCCCAATTCCTCCTTTTTGGACTAGGTGGTCGCGGTGTGGCTTCAGGACTTGGTAGACACGACTCACCACCCAGGCTCCGCAGCTCCGCGCAGACCTCCCGATGCAGCTCCTCCAATCTCTCAAAGGTATGGCCACTAAGCACGGCCTCCACATGACGACTCCTGGGCAATCTTCCTGCGGCATTCTTTTTCCTGCCCTGCCTGGATTTTCCCTTCATTTTCTTTGGTGATTCAGCACCACCACAAAGTCGCGGTGAAGCTGGGTATGAGGGTGTAGCCATCATCGCACCATTATCGTCCTCATCATCGATATCCTCGTTGCAGATGGGCTCCGAGTCAAGGGACAGCTGGGTGACCACGTCCAGGTCGCGGGAGGTAACCATGCTGGTCACATCTTGACCGGGACGACGCACCTTGCAAAAGCGCGGCATGTTGGGCACATGGGTTCTGCCCATTTCCCGTTGGCGCTTCAACTGGGCCAATTCGGCGCCCCTCAGTTCGTTATAACGCCTCACCGCATTCGGAATGGATTCCGGACCAGCAAACTATGGTAATATATTATAAGGATCCTATAAAGCAACATCCATCCGTAGATCCCTTATACCCAAACTTACCCGAAACTCAAAGTTGCTAGCCCTACCAACGTTCTCCGACTCGAAATTGCAGCCGTACATATCTTGGTAGTTCATATTCCTCCAACTTTTCTTTCTATTCGGAGTGGATTCGTTATCTTTTTGTCCAGTCTATTTCAAGTCTTTACGCATCTATTTCTTAGTGGGTTTTTGTCTTAGGGCGATGTTATTACCGGATTAAATTTTGTACTGATTGTTTTTCCAAAATAAAAATACAAAAAAGCCTGGGATACGCTTTCTGTTGATAGGTTTTGCATGAATGTTCCGATCGACTTAATTTTTTTCGAAGTCTTTAGTCTGTCTTTCCATTGAGCTTTACCCAAAACTTATGACTTTTGTTGCACAGCTCTGTTGGATGGGCTTTTTTCAATTGTTTTACAACTATATAAGCCAAATAAAGATTGTATTAATTTTTTTACCTGTATCCTTATATCTATTTAGCTAAAATAATACCAGCCAAAGAAAAAGGCACACTGAGCTTATAGAATAGATTGCACTGGTTGAACGCTTTATTCGGGGATTGCCCCTCTATCCTTGTTCACAATAAATAGTACGACGAAGGTTACAACTTAGATCCTAAGCATGCTTAAAAGTAAACAAAAAATCCTTAAGTAAGATCCTCGGAGTGTGCGCCTCAGCCGAAGATGTTTGAGTAGAGGCTATTTAGCCCGTTGCTGATGGTAGAGAATATGCCACTATCGCTGGAGGCGGCACCTGCGTAGGGCGATACGGGTGGGCGGTAATGCTGGGGCGCCGGAATCGGGCGGTACAGTCCGCCGGGACCCACTCCGCCCCCGCCCACGGTCACGCCCCCGACTGGCACTCCGGCGGGACCCATGGCCCCGATGCCCTCAATGCGCTGCGAAATCAATTAACAAGGTGTTATAGGTACACAGAGTATTACTTAGGCTCTTCCGCTTTACAATATCATTACCAAGCAACCCTTATATTACATTTTAACCTTTTACCAGCAATGGTCTTACAAGTAATGGGTGTTATTCTAAACGTTTGCCAACTCCTGTCAAACCTTTTCAAAAAAAAAACAACAAAATAATAGAACGAGTTTTTGTATGACCAAAAATATTCTCAATTTTACAGATCCTGTAATATCATCTTTTAGTTTTCAAAACTTTATAAAGTCTTTCTGTAATGATATACATAAAAAGCTGACCTGAACTCTTATAATGGTCAATACAATACATTTTTAACTTAACAAAAATATACAAAAATTATAATAATATAAAATTAAGAATATAAAAAGCAATGGAGTTCAAAGTGAGGTGTTCAGAGGTGTTTTAGTGGGTTAGTTGGTTAGCAATGGCTAGGACTAAAGCACTTCAGCTATTATTTACATTCGATCGGATTGGGCTCCAAGAAATCGGATTTCGATTATTCCGTAGACAGCTTTCCATTGACGCGACGCTTCGCAGTTGATGTTTTGGTAGAGGTGGACGAACCAGAAGCTGCCACCATGTACTGATCGGTTATCGGTTATCGGTTAGGGATTAAAGGGATTTAAAACACAGAGGGTTAGCCATCACCAGAGATTGCTTAGAGCTAAAGTGGTGACCCCAAGGGGCGGTAGTGAGAGAGGTGACCTACCTTCGAGGGCTGCAGCGTCACATTGAGCAGCGTGGGATGCTGCTCCACAATCACGAACTCGACCTCTCGAGGAGCAAAGCCTTCGGCAAAGACCTTGAATTGAAATAGAATTTTTACTCAATCATTATGTAGTATTTATGTTGTGTGATACTCACCTCCACTTTGTAATATCCGGGTAGCAGTATGCGCCAGAACTCACCATACTTGGTGGTCTGGAAACCCACATCGCGTCCCTTGATCTTGATGGAGGCCCGCTCAATGGGCATGCCCGCCGGATCGAACACAAATCCCTGGACTCCTCGATGCGCCTCGGCCAGGAATTTGATCAGGGACTTTATAAAAGTAATGGAGAGATCAAGACGTGAATAACAATGAAACGTAAGTATACATAATAACACTTTTTCGAAGGGTTCGTAAGGTCTTTATAAAGATTTTCAAAAGATATTATTGAAAATCGATTAGATCATACTTGGATCACACTTAAATCGATTGTTGATCATAACTGAATAGGTTTTGGATCACATTTAAATCAATTGAAAAACTATACTTAAATTAGTTGTGGATAAAGGTGTTTAAAAGTATGCAATGGGAATAAATCCTACTGAAATTTCATAATAAAAAATATTAGGGCATACTTTTAGACACCTTTTAAACTAGGTATACTATTTACTCACCAGCTGATTGTCCTCCCAGTACTTCTTAAGCTCGTAGGCAGGCGGGAACTTGCAGCAGGATATCTCCAGCGTGATCTCCATGCAGCCGTACCACACATAGTTGTAGTCCTGCATCCCGCCGGTCAGCGGATACCAGGCGGCTCCGTTCGTAATCCCGTTCTCGAAGGCCGGCGTCGCCGACTTGCAGGCCACGCCCCTGGACATCTTGGCATGGTTGCGGGCATAGACCAGGGACAAGTGCTTGAATACATCGTCGTCGGGCGTCAGGGACGGCGCCGCCGAATAGGTCTGGAACACTGCGCCCAAAGGACATGTTTGGCGGAACGGAAAGAGAAGCAAACACGATTAGATGGATCGTTCGGGATCGGTTGTCGCGGACTCACTCGCGCACAGGGCGGACGAACGGCAGATCCCTTTGAGCAGCCATATTAGTGGGAGAGTACAGAATGAGCTTTATCAATCGGAACTCGACTGGGAGTCACACACCGAAAGAGGGAGGCTTCGCAAGACGAAGCCATGGATGTCCTTGCAAATCAAACTAAAACTTCTTGAAATAGACCCACAAAAAATCTATTTAATCTCTTAAAATGGGTTTGTTTGTCTCAAAAAAATCGATAACACTTTCAAGGAATTTGTATCCCCAAAAACAATTTCAAGAATACTTTATTCTTTATTTCCAGAACGTTTCATCTCGAATATGTGACAAAAGCGTGTACTTCTGTTTGGAACTAAAACGATTTCATTCAACGAGATCTCTTAATAATAGACCAGAAATAATCAGTTATCACTGGATTTTGTAAGACCCTGTTGATAACAGCCTTTGACGAACATTTGGATTATCTTGCAACCGAATAATGTGCTTCCTAACAATATTGAGGTTGGGACCCACCCATTTCAAATCAACTAGCTTTTGAAGAACAAATTATCAGACAGCAATAATGTTATGATCTGAAGGAACTAAAATCATTTTGGTTTTCTTTCTGCAAGGACATGGAGGGACATGCTTTCAAGATCAGGACATACTCCTGGGACTACTTACTGGAGTTGGGCGTATTGTCGTAGGGATAACTGGCCACTAGGGCACCGCCATGGAGGCTTCCACTCAGCACGAACTGTATCTTGGATATCCAATCCTTGACCGAATCCGTTTCCGGCTGACCCCGCTTGTTGTTCTGCTTGAAATAGTCGGGGAAGTTGCGATTCAGATCGAAGCCACGAGCATTGTATCTGAAAAGAGGAATGAGATATTTTAAATTCCCAAATGGGAACTCCGGGATAGGGAACCCACCTTCCTTGACCACCGTCGCAGGTGCCCTCCTTGGAAACCGCATAGCCGTCCGGATTCATCGTGGGCAGGATGTGGATCCTTGTGTTGTCCAGCAGCCACTTGACGTACTGATCCGAGCTGTAGCTGGTCACGAAGTACTGGATGAGGTGGAGCAGCATCTCCCGACCAACGGGCTCGTTGCCATGGATATTGCCCACGTACTTCACATCCGGCTTGCCCACCATGTGCTCGTACGGCGACGAGCTGACCACCATCACCCACAGATCCCGGCCCTGGATGGACTTCCCGATGGAGTACAGGGCCGTCAGGTTGGGATACCGGGCACTTGTGGCCCTATTGTAATAAGAATTAAATAATCATAGGGGTTAGTAATCTAACTCATGTACCAAATATAAATATAATGAACTAATACTGTCTAATTTAAAGAAATACTACACCTATGTATTATATAGGTATTTGTATAACATAAATGGGGATTATTAAAAGTAAAAACATATTTTAAAAACTCTCAATTATCATACACTTTTAAAAAACATATTCTGCATTTTTTCAAACTAAACCATTGTATTTTAAAATAATTTTCACGATTCTTAATAGACAATCAAAAAAACACGTATGAATCAATTTAATATAGGCATGGTAAATTTATTAAGTATCATATTTTCCATTGAATAATAAAAATTTGATTTAAGGATTGGTATTTCTTGGATAATATCTTTTAAAAAATTCTCTTAAATTGATAAAGAGAGCAAAAACAAAAAGGCGAGCATATCAAAGTATCTAGATATTCATATGAATATTGAATTTCATATTTATTCTTATGAATTTGATGATTTAAGATTCATATGAATTTCATATTTATTCTTATGAATTTGATGATTTAAGATTCATATGAATTTCATATTTATTCTTATGAATTTGATGAATATCTTATCTTATCAATTTTGTTTTTTGTGTATATTATAAATGTTAGGCCATGTGTAAAAATATTTTTAAAAACTATAATGATTTAATAGAACTATTCAAAAGTGCTCTTTTACTTAACAATTAAAAACTTAATGGGTACTAAGTATTTCAAGGGATATTAAAAAAAAGGACTTACCGGAGGAACCTCGTCAGCTCCTCGTGGTCGTGGTAGACAAAGTCCAGGTGCTGGGCATCCGGCATGTAGGCCCTGGGCTCCGGCAGTCCCGGCTCCGCCGCCACCTGGTGGTGCTGCATCTGCATCTGGTCACCGGGATTGACCGTCTTGGCATCGCAGGAGCAGGGCCGTAGGACGAGCAGTAGGGAAAGGAGGAGCAGCAGGACGGCGGGCAGGCGGAGGAGGTGGAGCAGCTGGTGGCCGGCGAGTGGCGTTCGCAAGATCATGGTCGGTCGGCGGTGAGTCTGCGAATGGTCAAAACTGGCGGCCGGGCAGACCATTTAAGAGGGGCTCTCTGGCGGTGCGAAATGTGGTTCGAAATGAGAGCCAACAGGTTGTGCGGCTGGCCAAATCGAATCGGATCGCGATGGGTTGGGATGAGATTAACTGGCTACGTGCGCATCGAGATCTGCGATCGTTGGCCCCAACCACGTTTGTGGCATGCCTCAAACGTGTTCGCCCTGGATTATTCCCCCCTGACACTGACACCAACCCATGCATCCATCCATCCATCCATCCATCCATCCATCACCCGCCCAGAGTTCATTGATACATGACCAAGGAAATGCCGACATAATTGTCATATCTCAGCTCAATTTTGGCATCTTAAGTCAATCCAAAAATATCAGTGCAATCAGCCAAGACAACCATTATATCATACTATGCATTTTGTATCTTAATCTTAGTTTTTGAAATATGCTTAAATAGGAGCCTTCTATTTTTCAAGTGTGAGTTGCACTTTACGTTGCAGTTGCTTTAAAAACATTATCAAGATTAATTTGCATATGCGGATTTTTTCGATCACTGAATAATGTAAACATGATGTAAATGTAAATTTCAAAAATTACTTTGAAATCGAGAGAGGGAAATTTAAGATGGTGACAAAAATTACTGCGAATAAGAGTGGGGAAAGTTCGCACTGCCGTATTTTAAAGATCATATATATATTTTTTTTAGCATAACGTATTAAATGAGTATCTTTGTATCTCTGAAAACTGTCCAACTAAAATATATATGATTTGGAATACGATTGCAACCGTAGTTCGATGTTTTCTGTACAAGTTGCCATCCCTATCGCGTTCCCAGAAATTGATCCCCGGAGATACCATGATACCAGGCTCGATCCCGATAACCCCCACAAGGCGAGGGCTTGTCTAATCAGAAGGAATCACTGTCACCGGATGGGTCTATCTATCCGGCTATCTCTCGGTTCCCCGATAAGATACCCATATAGGTATATCCCCCCCTTTGGGAGAGGTGAGTCCTATAAAAGCTCACGCCATCGCTGCGAGCCCATCAAAAGTCAAACCAACGGAGTGCCATGAAGCTGACCCTGACCATTGGACTAATCCTTGTGGCCGGAGCACTGGCCCAGCCGCAAGGAAGGATCGCCGGAGGCGAGGACGCCGTTCCCGGCCAGCTGCCCTACCAGGCGGCCCTCTCCGTCGGCGGGAGCTACAACTGCGGAGCCGTGATCATCGGCCAGCGGTACGCCCTCACCGCCCTTACATGCGTCTGCTCCGAAGGCAAGGACACCCCGTAAGTTGCCAAACCACCCTATACAAACCTAGCAAAATCTTGTATAGTTCATATGTGTTATTTAAGGAAAGTGTGCTGATAAGCCAAGAGTTAGCAATTTTGTTGTTACCTACTACTACTTTATAGATTTAAAAGTTAATGATTTTTGATCCTATCCAATTTTTGAAAGATTATTGGTTTGATTATTGTAGAAAAATTAGCTATTTTGCTGTTGCCTATGAGTATTCTTAGTCTTTACTACTCTTACAGAAATTAGACTTCATTTTTCATCCTACCGACTTTTTGCAGTGTATTTCCAAGATCAATAAGTACAAGACTTTTGGAAGTTACACACCACTTAACTATGCAATTTTGCATATTTTTTCAAGATTTAAAACCTACTGTTAGTCTAACATGCGGGCGAGAAATCTGCTTTCAGTTCAATACACGAGCCAACTATTTTTTGGATCAGTTTAAAATATTAAAGAAGCAAAAATAATACCTTGTAAAAATTCAAAAGTTTTCAATAATTTAATAACTCCATAATGATATTAAAACCGAGTTTCGTTTTCTAACAATTTAAATAAAACTTTAGAAACTCTTAAGAATATTAGCAGGTGTTACTTTATAGCTTACTTTCAAATAGTTCTAAAAAGCTTTCACTGACTTCCGATTAGATTAACTCGACCATCGATTAAGTGAAATATCTTCCGATTTCAGATGGCCAGCTGTTCTGTTCGCCGTGACCGTGGGCTCCGTGGATCTGTACACAGGTGGAAAGCAGATCCGCGTGGAGGAGATCACCATCAACCCGAACTACAGCTCCCTGAAGACCGGTATTGCGCTGCTCCGCCTTCAGGAAGACATTCCGTCTGGCGCGAATGTGGCTGCTATTCCCCTGTCCCAGGACATCCCGCCCCTGGGCGCCCAGGTGGAGGTTTCCGGTTGGGGTCGGACCACCGCATCCGAGGTCAACATGCACCGCACTCTGCAAATCGGCGAGACCGAGGTGATGGCCCCACGCGAATGCGCCCTGGCCGAAAAGGAGGAGCTAGCGGTGGTGGAGAACGACCAGGTGCTTTGCCTGGGTCATGGTCGCCGCCAGGGAATCTGCAGCGGGGACATCGGAGGACCGGCCGTCTACCAGGGCCACCTGGTGGGTCTGGGAGCCCAGGTCCTCGGCGAATGCGGCGACATTTTGCCCGAGCGATTCGTCAGCATCGCGACCAACTACGATTGGATCCAACAGCAGTTGCAATAAACCAATATCGATAACAAATGCATGAAAAAAAACAATAGCTTTGGGGTTTCCTAAGGGGGTTTAACAGTTCCCAAAACCTTTCTGATAGCTTGATAATAATATTATTTGTTATTAAAGTATTATAGGTACTTAAACACAAAACTCCGGTAAGTAAGCACTTCCTAGAGTTATTATTTTGGAATCAATAAATCACATCAATAATCAATAAATTACATATTCCGTAAATGTTCAGATTATATTATGTTATTATGATATCTTGATACGCAAATTATATTATATATTGCTTTTCGAAACACAATATCGTGATATTAGCATTAATTTGAAATATTATTTCGGAATTATATGATATCAGACTTGATTTTGTTAATTAAATTTCTAGGCCAATAAGACTGTTATTTTTGATATTAAAGCCAATATAAGTAAAACACCAGCAGCTGCAACAAAGTCCCATTAACATATGTCTACCTCTTTTTTAATTATATTTTCAAACCACGATTCCTGGCATACTTATAGGAGTAAAAAAGCAATGGACGTATACGACTAAGTCGTAAATTAACAATTTAATCATTATAACGATTGGCAGTATGATCATAAACTAAAGTGCTGAATAACCCTCCCAAACGTGCTTCTGAGAACTGTGAAACCTTTTTCAGAAACGTACTTCTATCTTACAAGAACCCAAAGTAAAGTGTTGCAATAGGTACAATTGTTGAGTGTAAGTCAAAACCGGAAGAGCCTACTTCATTGTAACCACTTTAGTTGCAAAAGTATAGAAAAATCTATCTCAATTGAATTTATGGAGGGTCAATCTCAAATTTGGTAATGGTGCTTAAGAGGCATTAATATATAGACTTGTATGAAATTAAAAGTCGTAATATACCATTATTAGACGTATTTGTTATCTTAAGACACAAATAACCATCCCGCCTTTATGGAAACAACTCAGCAGTCCCCATCAACACCTCGGCTTTATTTAAACAGCATTCTCGTTGATCCACTCCTGATGCTGGGTGACATCCACATAGCCATCGGGCAGTCCGGAACCACAGCCGCCGACAAAGAAGGCGGCAATGCCCACCAGTTGGTCATTGTAGACCGCCGGAGCACCAGCATCGCCGGAACAGAGTCCAGCGAAATCCTCGGCCACCGGGGAGAGGCAGAGCAGATCCTCCTGCTGCAGGTACAGTTCCTTGTAGCAGTCACTCGCACTCAGGATCTGCCTGCTGGCCACCTGGAGGCCATGGCTAAAAGATCCCTCCGCCTTGCTGGATCCCCAGCCCGAGAAGCTGATCTGGGATCCAGCCGCCGGACGCTCTGTGGCCAAGTCAATGGGTTTGATATTCGCATTCAGGTTCACCTTGGACTGCAGCTTCAATAGGGCCAGATCATTGGTTCCCGCCGCATCCGAACTGGAGTAGTTCTTGTGTATTATGATCTGGGACAGGGGCACCAGTTGGCCACCAGTTATACGCTGAATGCTTCCAACTCGAACATCGAAATACTGAGGGGGGTAGCTAATTTTGGAAATCGACATATGTAGTTTGGTTCACTTGGTTATACTACACAGAGAAAAGCCCATGGTAACTGATAGGAATTTTTAATTATTTAATTTCCAAGTATACTTTTACGGTTCTTTCTTCTCTTGAACTATATTTCGTAACATTTAATTTTATTTTAAAAAAAATTTATTTTTTTGTTTTTAAAATTTAAAGAAAAAGAAGGAAAGCTTTAGTCTTTAGAAATCTCTACTTCTTTGTACTTTTTTTTTTAAATATATAATCTAGAGAGATCTTTATTATGGAAATAAAGTGCTAAAACTTTAAGTAGTTTTGTATAGCCTATATTTAAAAAAAAAATTTTATTCATACCCTAATCCGTATAGGAGATATACCTATTTGGTAACTCTCAAAAACTTGTCCAGAAAAGTCATGAATTAAAGTTCGGGGAACTTAAGCGTTTTCTCTGTGTAAAAGCCATCTACCTTTGCTGAGCACCTCCCAAACTGACGCAATGGGCTGCGGTGATGACCCAGTTATCGCGGAACAGAGCTCCTCCGCAGACATGGACGCCATTCTGCCTCAGAGAAACGCTGTGTGGCTGGGATCCCACATCCGCCGGCAACCGGCTGGCCTGGCCCGCACCCAAGGTCACGACGACCAGGAGGATGGGGAGGAGGAGGAGCTGTGTTTGTGACTGAACCCGACTCATGACTTTTTAGATCTTAACTGAAAGGTGCTCCTGCCGGCCGGCGGGCCTTTATAGAGCACCCCGTTTACGACCATGGGTTAAGCAATCTAATCGCCCTGCTCTTGATACACCCATAAATCGCCACCTTATCGATACCTATACATTGCCCATCGATTAGATCGCCCAAGTGGTTGACCAACGATCGTTGGGCCGTGAGCCCATTCAGTTACCAATCCATCGCCATGGCTGATCCACGCACCACTCTGGCCCTCGGTCTGCTAATCCTCGGCCTGATCCTCGCGGCGGAGGCCACGCCCCAAGGTCGCATTCTGGGCGGCGAGGACGTCGAGCAGGGGGAGTACCCCTGGTCCGCCTCCGTCCGCTACAACAAGGCCCACGTCTGCTCCGGCTGCATCATCTCGACGACCCGCATCCTGACCGCCGCCCACTGCGTCTCCGACGTGGGCATCACCCCGTAAGTCCTAGGAACTCAGTTTGAAGATATCTCACCTTACATTACAACTATACTAGTTTTACAAACTCACTAATATTAGTAGATCGACAGATTTTCAGTACATTTATCAAAAACTTTTTTAAAGACTTTGCTAACCTACAAAGGCTTATTAAAATATACCACTTAAGATTTATATTCTTATCAAAAACAATTTCTGTCAGCAATGATCGAATAATTGGCAATAAGGTTATACAATTTCCACTATATAACTAGGAAATGCCCACACTCAAAAATTGTATCTCTAATCTATTAATCTATTAATTTAAAATGTTGCTTATTTTCCAAGATAGAAAATATCTGTTGGCAGGTTATGAAAGCCTTTAATAATTATGAGGGATACAATATATTTCTAATGATTTTCAGAATACCTATTCATTCTCAAAAGTATTTACCACACAAATATATAAACATAAAGACGTTAGATTATTACTCTGTTTGGTTTAAGGGAATATAAATAATTGGGGAGATGTTACATAGAACTATGTACACCCCCACTCACCCTACTAAATGCATCTTCACATGGTACTAATACCAATTTTTGATATTCCAGAGTGGATGTCAATACCTTGGCAGTGCGAGTGGGCACCATTAACCAATATGCCGGCGGCACCATTGTGAATGTGAACAAGGTCACGATCCATCCCTCGTACGGAAACTTCCTGCACGACATTGCCATTCTGGAGGTGAATTTCCTGACCTTTGGCGACCGTGTTGGAGCCATCGCATTGCCCAGCACCGAGGTGGAGGGCAGTGGCGAGGAGGCGAACCCGGAGGATGTGGACGCGGAGCTGCCCAACGGAACGCCCGTCTATGTGGCCGGATGGGGTGAACTCTCGGACGGAACCGCATCCTACAAGCAGCAGAAGGCCAACTTCAACACACTGAGTCGCTCGCTGTGCGAATGGCAGGCCGGATACGGCTACGAGTCCGTGGTGTGCCTCTCCAGGGCCGAGAACGAGGGCATCTGCCGTGGTGATGCCGGAGCAGCCGTGATCGATGACCAGAAGGTGCTCCGCGGTTTGACCAGCTTCAACTTCGGACCCTGCGGCAGCAAGTATCCCGATGTGGCGACCCGCGTTTCCTACTACCTTGCTTGGATCGAGGCCAACTCCCAGTAGTCATCATCCGTCTTCACGAGGATTACCCCTTTATTTTTTTATACATTTTTTTTCCTGTGCATAAAGTGTGTTTCCCTCCAAAAAAAAAAAGAAATGTGTTTTTATTGAAGTTTATAAGGTGCAAACTATTCGCCATAAGGAATTTAGTGCTGGCCATAAAACTGATACCGATAATGCAACCTCGAATTGGCGCCGATCAAAGGTTACCGATTCCCCCTAGGAACCTTGAGAATCGATCGATTTTATTGGGATTATCTAACAGAACTTACAAGGAAATGACTAAGATGACATTGTACTATTTCCCAGTGTTCCTTATAAGGCCATATATAATAGTTAAGCCAGGCAATATATACGTAAAGTTAGATAGAGATTTGAGGAAAACCCCATAATCGCCCTAGGAAACAAGGAATTTTTGGGGAATCAGCCAGATTAACGATTACTAATCGAACGTCAATGACATGGCGAAATCTTTATAATTCAGATTTCTAATCGCCAAGGTATAGATACCGATCTGGGCTTATTCCCACTAATCATGGCAAATGCTTTGATCACTATGTTGCTCTAAGGGAATTTGTAGTTTATTGTAACACTTAAGTAACACTTAAGTTATTATATTAGTTATTATATTAACACAAAATGTTGTTAAAAGGTATATGAGGCTATCGTTATTATTAAAGACCCTTCGACTTGGAATTTAAATATACATACGTTATACTTTAGCTGTAATAGCTACTAAAACCCTAAAAATTCGGGGAGCTTTAACTACCATTTCTTTCGAGTTGTTTTGACTCAAGGATTACTCATCATTATCTACCGTAGGTGTGGTGATGTCTTGTCATAGTCACTAGATCGTTTGGACTTCCCTCCGCCTCCATGTGCAATTTTCTATTAATGTGCCAATTGATCGGTGAAATAACAAGTAACAATTGGTATGGCTGTATAAAGCGGCGATAAGATTAGATTTTCTCTGATGCCCAAGCCGAAGATAAGGATTGGTCAAGGGAGGAACGGAGGTGGTGGTGGTGGTGGTTCGGTGGAGTCGTCCACTTAAATTTTCACCGCTGGCATTGCGCATTTCCAATCCAACCGTCGTGGGCAGCTGAACCACCGAAAATAAAACTTAAGCAATAATCCCCACACGATGCAGCAGAGATCCCTGATTTTGGGCCTGATCGGCTTGACCCTGGTGGGCGTCTGCCACGGCAGTGAGCGGATCATGGGCGGCGATGAGGCGGACCCCACTGCCACGCCCTACGCCGCCTCCCTGCGCGTGGACAACGCCCACGTGTGCGGCGCATGCATTATCTCCGAGACCAAGATCCTGACCACCGCCCATTGTGTGCACCGCGATGGAAATCTGTGAGTTTATTTTACAATTTTTAATCTAAGACCCTAAGTTAAAAAATAAAATAACCATAAATATCCATCCATAATATCACTTTAGTTTAAATTTATTTATTAATGGTAAGAACCTAATTCTTTTCTTTTTTGCTTTTTTTTGGCTCTATAAGAAGTATATATGATAAATAATTACAAAACAAAAATGTTATGGGAAGAAAAAGTGTACAGAAAAGAGTAGCTTGTATTGTACAACTAGGCGAATGAGTGATATTATATGATGCATGCTGAACAGCCTTTGTAGAAATTATTTTTTATGGATAACACAATTATTGAAAAATAAAGAATAGATATATTTTTCCACAAATAATTGATTTAAATAAAAATAAAATAAGATACAAAGTTTATATTTTATTGTTGTACTTTTAGATAAATATAAAAGTAGATCTCCATTTCCTAAAAAACTGACATTAATAAAAATGAACTTAAGCACAATATACATTTCTTTTTCACAAAGTATTTCATTTCAATATTAACAAATAATAAAAAGAGAAGTCCAGGAAATTCCACATATTCTTCCCTATTTATTTATAATATCGTATACAACTTTTGTTTATATCCTAAATCTTGATAAAACCCGTAACCCTGCCAACCCCCCACAGAATCGATGTCAAGCGCCTTTCGTGCCGAGTGGGCAGCACCAATCAGTACGCCGGTGGAAGGATAGTGACTGTGGAATCGGTGGTGGTCCACCCTGACTACTACCAGCTGACGAACAACCTGGCCGTGATCACGCTGAGCTCCGCGTTGGCCTACACGGAACGCATCAAGGCCATACCGGTGGCTGCCAGCGGAGAGGCGCTGCCCGCCGAGGGTTCAGAGGTCAGTGTGGCTGGCTGGGGTCGCACCGCCGACGGCACCACCTCCTACAAGATTCGGGAATTGGCGCTTAAGGTGGCCCAGGAGTCGGCCTGCCTGGACGCCTACAGCGATCACAACCAGGACAGCTTCTGCCTGGCCCACGAGCTCAAGGAGGGCACCTGCCACGGCGACGGAGGCAGTGGCGCCGTCTACGGGGACAAGCTGATCGGCCTGACCAACTTCGTGGTGGGCGCCTGCGGATCCCGCTACCCGGACGTCTTTGTACGCCTCTCCAGCTTCTACGATTGGATCCAGGAGCAAATTGCTTAGGAGACTGGAAGTACCCCCCAAAACACACTTAATACACCCACCCGAAATAATTATAGTTATTTCCCAAAACTCAAGGGCTGCGTTTTTTTTTCTCGTGGCAGTGACTCAATTGCCCCCGATTTCGATAAGGATAAGGATCGGCGATAGCCACTGGACACTGGTTAACGTGATAATCACAAAACTAAACACCGCCATCGTACGTGTGAAATTCATATTTATTTATGACCCCAATGGCACTGGTTTTACGGCCCCAAAATCGAGATATAGATAGAGCGCCGGGGTCTCGAATCAATGGGGTGGAGGTGGTGAAAATATTCGTATTTTGGTTATTTCATAAATTATATAATCCATTTGAGAATAGTTTAGGGGCTTATCTAAGGTCTTTCAGTTGAATTTATAGACTTAAGATGCTTTGATTACATCTTATCATTGAACTTAATGTTACATAAGTTCATGTAAAAGCCTTATTTTCCTTTTTCCCCCATTGTGATTGGAAGGGCTTCATTTGCGTAGAAAATTGGGAAAAGTAAAAGATACGAAATTAGGTTAAAGTTAGATAGCTTGTGTGTTATACACACGCGAGAGAAACCTTTTCAGCATGAATAACATTCCAGGAAGTTATCCCATCCCATATATAATCTAGATATTGTTTTTAGTGTTTTTGCATAGCAGGTAACTTTGAATTAAAATTAACTTGAGTTCTGAACAACTAAACTAAGCTAACGATTCCTATATCTTACTGAATGATTTTAAATATAAAATCTTTTTCTTTTCGGTTAGAACTTGGGATTTCTGATCGTTAGTTATATAGAAAATCATAATTTGTTACATCTTGAACTTTCCCGATGATAACAAAAACTAATTCTTCAACTCAAATATTAATTTAATCCAT